AACAATTCTTACAAAGAATCCAAACACATCACTGGGTTTTCCCTCCAATGACGCTGGGTTTTCCCTTCAGTATAACATACTATAAAAGCTCAAAAAATCGATCTTAGTATATGGCATTCCCTCATGTCAATCACATTAGATTTCACATATACTATACAATATGGCTTTTATACCATTATTGAAAAATAAAATTCCCCGGATTAAAAGGGCATAAGGGGCAACATTTCTAACATTGGATCCCTTCCTCTACCTCAAAACCCTAATGCAAAGAACAAATGGGGGTGCAATTCAATTGATATGGAATTTCATTGGCTCCAACCAATGGATTAATGAACCACCTACAGAGACCTATAACAAGAAAAGAGAGATCAAAAGGTTGCCAAAATAAATAAACCGTTTCTTAAACATTCTTTTTTATCTATCAAAAGTTATTTTTGTAGATCAAATATGTAAAAACATCCACTTTTTTGAGACTAATGAAATCCCAAAGCTGAAACTAGCTAACAAAAACTTAAAAGTAAGTTAAACCAAACGTTAAAAATCGAACTTTCCCATGGGATCTTTTACCGCTTGAAGATGGACAATCTTGATAATGTGTTACATAATACATTATTTTTATTATTTTTATGGTTTGAAATCTATTTATTTGGAGGCTCATAATTTTTGAGATCGAGATGATCAATTTGAAAGTTTTCTATTACTAAAGGAAAAAGTTTATATAAGGTTGCAACCTTAAAATATAGAATTAGAGATGCACCTCAAAAACCCATTGAAAAAGGTTGTTTTAATGTTGAAAAACTTTCTAATTGATTATCTCGACATCGAGATGTATGAATATGCGAGAAAAAAAGATTTTCAGTCCAAAAAATAATGCATCTTACAACACATTATCTAGACCGTCCATTTTCAAGATTTTCATAAGTTTATGGATCTACTTAATGTTAACCATTTTTGGAGTTTAAAATTTTATAATTGGATATAAAAATAGATTTAAGATAATCTTAAGAATTTTTTACACCAAAGTTCCATATTATGATAAAATTTAGAGGTATGCTTTAATTGGATTGTTTAAGGACCCATTACCAAAATTGCATTTTTAGAGGGGTTTTTGAGGTGCATCTTTGATTTTAATCGTAAAGCCTAGGACTTAATATTTTTTTCAGAAAAACAATTGGCTACTTGTTATCTGCTTCTTTAGTTTCATATTCCAAAAAAAGGTAAGAACCTTCAGACATGGTCTTCTCTACTCCTGGGCGGCGGAAAGAGGTGAATAAAAAGAGAAAAGAGGGAAAGATGATTTATATCGAATATGCTATGCACCTTTTATTAAAGGAAAAAGTTTATATAAGATTGACACCTTAAAATATATATATATAATTGAAATGTAGATCCAAAATCATTTGAAAAAGGATGCGTCAAATTGATCATCGAGATGTATAGATATGGAGGAAAAAAAAATTTTCAAGTATTAAAAATAGTTGCAACACATTATCTAGACCATCTATTTTCAAGATTTTCATGTGTTTATAGATCTGCTTGATTTGAATTATTTTTCGAATTTAAAACATTATAATTGGAGATAAAAAATAGATTCTTACGCTATCCTAACAATTTTCGGTACCAAAAATGCATCTCTTTAGAGGTGCACGTTGCTTTAATTGTTTAAAGTTACAACTTTGAACAAAACCACACCCTTCATTAAAATAAGGAACGAAGATGGCTGCCTAAAACGTGGGGAGAAGCGTTGAGGGAGAGAAAATTTTGAATTGTTTATTACCCGTTTATAGCATGTTCAAAAAGACTTTCCATTGTTGAACAGTGTAAACCAAGCAATTAAGAATAATTTAATGTGAACAGACTGTACATTTAGTCATTATCAGGATATTAATTAATAAAATTTGTATCTTTAGTGAATTATTTAGGCGCCTGACAGCTCATTACAAAATGCTTTACTTGATGATACATTTATAAATATATTTTTCAAAAATATTAACAAATAGGCAAAATATTAATAATTTGATCAAATTATCTAAAAAATTAATAAGGTGGTGAAATCAACTAAAATATCAATGAACTAGTCACTTTTAAAAAGTTATTTCATTAGGGACTTTATTTATTTGTTAAAACATATTCAGATAGCCCATGTTTAGGGTTTGTAACCCTAAGTAAGTGAGACCATTTTGGTGATTTCAATATTTAAGTTAGTTGGGTGAGATAATCTAAAGAGCCTTGCTTGTTCTGAGTTCCAAACATGGAGCAGCCATTTTATTATAAGTATTTTTCAGGTTTAGAACCCTGAACAAGGGGGTTCATTTATGTTTTTTGGCTTAACTATTTCAAATGGGCTAAATTAGTAAAAGACCTTAATTTGTTATGGGATGGAAAAATACTTTTGAGTTGAGAATTTTGAACAAGCAGGACTATTTAGGTTATTTGGGTAACTTGAGTCAAGTTGCCTAAATACCATCAATTGCACTGTTTTACAACCCGGACCAAAAGCAATTTGGAAATTATCAAAATTCTTAAGGAGGTACCTAAATAAAATACTTTTCAAACTCTAAACACTTTGTTGGAAAAATTATTGACTTAACTGCATCATGGATTTCTCAAAGTGGTTTAACTATTTGAATGGTATTTTCTCTGAGTAATATATTATAAAATTTTTGATCTTTTTTTTATCTCAATGGAGATTTTTTCATTTATTTTTATTTGTTGTGGGTGTTATCTTCGGATCTCCATTTGTTTTTGAAAGTTTTACTTTTATCAATAGGGAGCCTTTCCTCCGCCCACTGCCTCGAGCAAAACCCAACCAAGGAGTGCTTTTAGGCCAAAAAATAAAAAATAAAAATAAAAATAAAAAAAAGAAAAGAAAAAAAAGAAGTTCCAAATAGTATGCATTGCAACACATTATTTGAACTGTCAATTTTCAAAATTTTCATGTATTTACAAATCTACTTGATTTGAATCATTTTTGGAGTTTAAAATTTTATAATTAAAAATTAAACACAGATTCTCAAGCTATCCTAAGAATTTTTTATACCAAAGTTACAGGATAAAATTTGGATGCCCTCCTTGATTGTTTATAGTTACAAACTTATATAAACCACCTCTTCAACCTAGCGACAAGCTCAAAAAACGAAACGAGAAAAACACGCTTTATGCCTAACATACAAGCATCATAAGATCGAACACAACCAAATTGGATAGATAAACATGAGTATTAACAACTTAAAATCCCTTCTTTAGAAAAATAATGATATGATGACTAAAGTCTCAGATTTGCTCTTTCGCTCAAAGGAGCGTATGCATCGTATGGTTCCACAGTAGCATTCTCTATCTGCCTTTTTTTTTTATTGATTTATTGATTTATTTTTTATTATTTTCCAGCGAGTGATTCATAAAGAATGCGTTAACAACAACTATCATTTCACAAATATTTTAGGGACCATTTGAATGCGAATTTCTGTTGAATTATGTTTGTTTCAATTTGCAATTGATCAAATTACAAATTAGTCAATTGTAAATTGCCCTCTATAAGTGTTTGGTTGTTACAATTGATTGTCTCGATCTCAAGATGTATGTATATGTATTTGTAATATATTATTTAGACAACGTATTTTCAAGATTTTCAAGTTTTTGTAGATCTTCTCGATTTGTAACATTTTTTTAGTCTTAAATTTTGTAATTAAATAAGGGCATATTTAATTGGTGGAAGAGGGGGCACCCAATCCCCTATTCCACAAATCATGAAAGAGGCCAAACCGTGAGTTCGGAATTGTTTATGGGAGCTTGGTGGAAGCCACGAGTTCCAAATTGTGGCTACTAGTGGGACTAAGAACCGCATGGGTGTAATTTGGTGGAACTTGATCTCTCCTAAAATGTTCCACCAAACAAATATGCCATGAGAGTTTTTGAAACTAGAAATACATTTTTTTATGAATTTTTAAAAGGGAATGTATCCAATAAGGTCATTTACCTTTGATACAAGGTGGTTATAATTACTTATAAACATCCGATGTGAAGCTTGATAGCTAGGATGTGTCACCAAGTTCGAAAAAATTTGTTCTAAAGTTTGAGCTTGTTCAATGGAATAATTGCAGCCACCCAATTTCACATCCAAAGGTCATGATTAATGTCTTACCTTGTACCAAAAGTAAATGATCTCATTCTATATTTTCGCTTTTGAAAATACTCCTTAATTACTTTTATTGTTTAAGCTTCAAGGTTTACATCACACCTTTTCAATTTGGACAGGGTTTCTATGAGTTGGCCGACACACCTATTCAAATGAGTCCTCTCTCTAAAACCTAACTTTTAGAGATAGATTTTTTGTTCAAAATTTTGAGGAATGTATAATCTCAACAAACTTGAAAAAAATAATAATAATATATATATATATATATATTTATTTATATAATTTTAACAAAATAAAATATTTTTATATAATTTTAACGCCATTGATTTAAAATTTTTAGGGTTGTCATTTTGCAACATCCATCTCCAAGATGGATGTTATGTCCCCTGTAGGATGCACAAGCTACTTTAGAAAGTGTTGTCCACCCTAAAGAAGGATATTGTGTAATCCATAAATAACATATGCACCAAAAAAATGTATTTTAAATTTTAAAATTTCATAATCATAATCAATTTGGCCTAGATAATGAATCTATAAAAAAATATTAGATAAAAAATCCATATTAAAAATGAATCTTAGGGGCCCCTATATGTACATATGAGTATGGACTGTTTTCATTTAAATTTTGATGTGCCTTTATTGGCACATATGTAGCAACATGGCACCGGACTATCCCTTCACTGAGACTCAGATATTCATAGGACAATTTTGCAGTAGATGTAGAATCCCCCACATCAATTTCCTAAGGTACTTGCTTCCAAAACATAGGACATGTTTCAGCAAATGGGGCCTTGAGCTTCCAAGCCCTCATCTTTTCTATCCCCATAATCTCTCTCTCTCTCTCTCTCTCTCTCAACACACACAATTATGCAATTTCCAGATTCAAACATGTCTCATATCGTACATATTACTGAAAACTATATATATCCAACATACATGCTGTCAATTCCCTCACATCTCACTACAAACTTGAGATGCAAAACCCAACCTATCTCCCTTGGTATCATAAACCACCCTCACATTTTGTTGCTGAAAATTCCCAAGAATCATGTACTCCTCCTCTGAACCCAGTGAAGCCAAAGCCAAACAAACCTGTGAATTATCTCTCTCTGCAACATAAAGTATTCCACTCTCATCAACATTAATCTCAGCCCCACCCTCAAAATGAAACCTCAAAGTGGGCACACTCACTTCTTCATAACCACTAAGATTAAAGCAAGTATCTAAGATAGAGAATTTAGGTGCACTAGGCAAACCAAAGGTTTGCTTCAAGAACTCAGCCTTCACAGCTTTGTAAACAGAGGGAAAAAGCCTTGAAATCACAGTTCCTGAGTCAATCAAGCTCCCAACTTGCCCATTTGATGAATAATTCACCTCAATTAGAACACCACCAATGCTAATTCCTGTGAGATTGCAGAAGTAAAATGTAGAGATTCCTGGTTTTGATAACAACGATGTGTAAGCTGTGGCCTCACTCGAGTTAGCGGTGCCGATAGCCCCTTGTCCAAAGCTCAACCAACCAGAGGAATCACTAGAAATGGGAGATGGAAGACAGTAAGAGAAAACTCCTCCAAATTTAGAGGTGGTTTGAGAAATGAGAGAGATGGGGCTTCTCCCCAGGCCTATCAAACCAGAGGCTTTGCCAAATAGGCCATGGTTATCGAGCCCACAACCGAAAACAAAACCTTTGAACCAGTCATCTTGGTCTACTCCTAGAGAGAGCTTTTCATGTCCAAGGCTACCCCTAGTATAAGACCCATCTCCATAGGTTACTAAGTAGGCGCAGGTGGTTTGGTTCAAGGGACAACTGTGGAAATTTCCAAGAGTGTTCTCATAGTCTAGGCACTCAGAGGAGTTGCAGGATATGGGGTTATATGTTGGAGAAAGAGAGGGATCAAAGATTGCGTCTTGTTGTTCATAGCAAGATTTGCATGGTTTACATTGAACCCATGTTAGGTCGCTTCCTGTATCGACGAGAACTACCTTCTCTTCGTTTCCAATCCCAATTGTGACTATGTAGTTTAAACTGTTGAGCTTTATGCCTGATACTAAGGTAATTCGTGTCTCTGATAAGCTTCCTGTCTCTAGAGTTTCAGTTCTTACAAGAGCTTGTAAGGTTTGGACTCGAGAGGTGTCGGAAAACAAGAGTTTCTGCATTTCTTCATGCCAATTTAGAGTGGGTTTTGAGCAGCGGCCATGGTGCTTTAACTCCAAAAGAAGTTCACCTTTCTCTTTTCCTGTCAGAGAGAGAAGCCCATGCTTTTAGTTTAATCACGAGAGAAGAAACAGTTTCTGAATTACTAAAAAACCAGAGCAGTTATTGCAGGTGAAGAGAAAATGGTGAAACAGATTTGTATAACTTACTTGGCCTTTGTGGAGAGCATATGGGTCTTGAACCATCTTTGAATGAAAGGTTTTGCAACTTTATTCTGTGTTTCTCAGCTAGAGAACTTCCAATGCTGGGGTTAATGAGGAGTGTAAAGATAGAGAAGAGAGAGAAAGAGATCAGCATCAAATGGAGAGGGAATGGTGAAGCCATGGATGGGTTGAGAGGGGACTGAGAAGGTCAATAACCATGAAGTTTTAGAGAGGTATAGGTTGCCGAGAGATAGATAGATTGATTGATTGATAGATAAATAGATAGAGAGGGAGAGAGAGAGAGAGAGTGGGGGGGAGGGAGCTTGGAATAAAAACAAGGAGAGTGGCTGGCAAAAGGGCCCACTGGTGCATGAGATGTCATGAGAGTGCTGATAACTGTTTGTTCTTTTCTGATGCAGATGTCAAGGAAATAAAAGGGTCCCGTGGTGTGCAGAGAAACCGTGATTTGGAGAGCTAGAAGTAGCAGGAACTTCTCTCTCTCTCTCTCTCTCTCCCATAGCTCCATGTGAAAACTAAGGCCGCCATTAAATTCACACGCACACTCTACTTCATCGGTTTGTACTTTTGGATTTTGTCTGGTCTTAGTTTTGATGATCCTGTGAGTTTTTTATGGTGCAAATTTTTCGATGCTAATTTTCATAAGACATCAGTGTTCGCAAAATCGAACCAGAACGGTTAACCGGAAATAGACTTGGAAGCGGTTTAACCGGCCGATTCGACTCTCTAATCAGGTAAGTCATGGGCGATCAAAAAAACTGTTGAAAAAAAATAGAAATTTTTTTTACTAAAATATAAAAAACATATAAAAAATGATTAAAACAAAACACATTCAAATGAAGTTGAAAATTAATGAAAAAAATAGATTTTAACCCATTTTATATTTTCTACGGTCTGTTTTTAAAACTTTTTTAAAAAAATGGAAAAAGATAAAAGTGAGTATTAATGGCCAAAACAAATTTTAATCTTTACCATGATGTAAATAATATTTAAAAATACATTACAAATCAAATTCTTTAATTTTGGGAATTTCTATATATATATAGGAAACGTCTTCCTAACGCCTATAGGCGAAAATGAATAGTGATTTCACCTATCATCATCACCATCCAAGTTTAATCGCGCGGTCACGATTGTCTGGTAGTGTTTTATTTTTATTTTTTATTTTTATAAATCAGAATGACATGAAATTTGAAGGATATGTACATCTTACTGAGGTGCATCTAATAAAAATATAAAACAAACTATCAGTGAAAAACTAATTGACCAAAATACCCCCAAAATTTCGGAGGTATTTTGGTCAAATTTTTTCATGTAAAATATTCTTTTTATATTTTTCGAAGATTCCCCTATTTTTGATGAATACATGCTCCAAATTTCAGGTCACTCTGATTTGTAGAAAAAAAAATGAAAAATAAAACACTACCGGACAATCGTGACGGCACAATGAACTTTGGACTGTGATGGAGGTAGGCAAAATCATTGTTCATTTCACCTATAGGCGTTGCGTAGTGTTTTCATAATATATATATATATATATATATATATATATATATATA